CGTAGGGCACGTAGCGGAATATTATGAGAGAAACCCCCCCCTAATTGGACCCCAAGCTATCGATCAAGCCTACTTAGAACTTGATCCGTTCACTCGTTATCGAGATCTCAACATCTCGGGTACTCGCAACCCGTCGCGTCGCGTAAAAGAGTCACGGTCGGTCTCGCTCCGCGTGTACTTGGCGCGAGACACTACCGTGTCTCTTGATTCGGATTAAACGCCATTGACAAACTCGATTTATGGTCTATCCCGCTAAGTGATTACATAGATCAAGAAACCGCGACACGCGTTCAAACCTCGGGAGCTTTACAACCTATCGTCGCTCAACAGATCGCGTTTTCAACAAACATAAGTCCTATCTCGGAACCGTCCGATTCGGGCGAAGGCAATCGGTCCGCCGCGCCGCCTCTCAACTCCTATCAAAACAAACTGTATAAAAGTTTTCCTAACCTTTTTTCCAACAAACTAGGAAAATGCAATAGCCACCAGGTCAAGTTCCAGCTCACGGAGAACGCACGACCCGTACAGGCCCAGTGCAAACAAATTCCATATGCCATGGAAGAGCCTCTCGAAAGAAAGCTTCAACGGCTAATCAAACTAGGAATAATCGAACGTGTGGAATCTTCAAAATGGGCAACACCCATCGTCATTGTAAGAAAGCCCAATGGTGAAATACGCCTATGCGCAGACTACTCCACAGGTGTGAATTGTCTTTTGGTCGACAACAGGCACCCGCTGCCCAACGTAGAAAGCGCTACAGCCAAACTTAACGGAAATGCCTTCTTCAGCGTACTTGATCTCAGTGATGCGTTTTTCCAGCTGGAGATCGCCGAGGATCATCGGGAAATCACAACAATCATCACTCCGTTTGGTCTTTTTAGATACACTAGAGTACCCTTCGGGTTGAAGACAGCTTCCGCTGAATTCCAGGAAGCCATGGACAACACACTAGCAGGATTGGATGGAGTGGACGCATACCTTGACGACGTCATCGTCAGAGGTTCCAATCGGCGGGAACACGACTTACGTTTTCGGAAAACCCTCCAACGTCTCGAAGAAAGAGGCTGGAAACTTAGACTCGACACTAATCATACTAATCATAAACGCTAAAGGCATATCGGCCGACCCAGAAGCCACCCGTGCAATAGCAAATATGCCCAAACTTACAAACGTCGCAGAAACTAAAAGCTTACTCGGTATGGTGAACCACTATGGGAAATTCATTCCCCACCTACACCAAATTAAGCATCCATTGGAAGATCTCACCCGGAAGAATCGACCCTAGATCTGGCAAAACCCTCGTCGTTGCGGCTGACGCCTGCTCTACGGGAATAGGAGATGTCTTACTACAACGAGATTCGTGCGGACACGAACGAGCTGTGTACCACATGTTCCAGAGTCTCTCGGACACACAGCGAGGCTATTCCCAAATAGAAAAGGAGGCCCTAGCTCTTGTCACTGCAATCGAACGCTTTTACAAGTTCCTGTGGGGACGGAGGTTCATTCTACTTACGGACCACAAACCTCTAGTCGCGCTTTTGCAGACGGAAAATACAAGAGGCCTTAAACCTACGACAGCTGCACGACTCAAAAGATGGGCCATACGACTCTTAGGTTA